GTTAAAATTAAAAAAGTTATTGTGTGGCATGCTATTCAAACGGCTCGCTTTGAGCCTACAACTATTTCCATATTTGTTCTTGTTGACTCCGAGCTCCTTGTTTGTAATATATCATGCATAAATGGCAGCATTGAGCATGTTGTGAATTTGTAGTGTTGTTTTAAACAATTTTGTATTGCCCTGAACTTGTATTGTTATCGTGAGCTTGATGCATTAACTTAGTGAATAGAAATCCAGTCACTGTATGAATTGACATTTACTCATAATGTTCGATCATAGCAATTTTTGAGCAGTAGCTCTTTCTTATTCTCTCAATTGCCATTTGCTATTCATGCTGGCCTTGGATAGTGAATAGAAATCCAGTCACTGTATGAATTGACATTTACTCATAATGTTCGATCATAGCAATTTTTGAGCAGTAGCTCTTTCTTATTCTCTCAATTGCCATTTGCTGTTCATGCTGGCCTGTGGATGCTTGGTGAGTGTTTTTGGCTATATTGTGACACATAAAGGTTCATTTTCAGCACCTTCTGTTAGCATTTTTGCAGGCCTTGCATCTTGATGTCCTTGAGCAGTGTGGCAGATATATGTAGTCTAAGTAAAGGTATTTCATGTGCCTGCTGCCTATTTGCATATTTGGCCGCAATTTTTTAAATGCGGGATGTCTGCCATAAAATGCGATATGTCGAGCACTTGTCTGTCTTTTTTTTTCTAGAACTTTCTTGGTTGTCTTTTTAGAGAAGACTTTTTTGCATTATATTGTAATGTTTGATACTGTGCCATACTCGTGTCACTGACAAAATGTGTTGTTGATAATCTTAGCACAGTTGTGCACATAGTTATCTAGTACTGCAAATGATTGGGAAAGGGATTTAGGTGGCCTGTTGCTTAGGGGCTTTTCACTCTCATTCCATGTTTTCAGAGATGAGCCTGCACTAATTTTATTGTTCTAAGCAATTCAAAATCTATGCGATTTCAGCTTGAACAGGTCTTTCAAAGGGGCACAGCAACGCTTTTTCGGCGTGGTCAGATAATGCTGGCCTTCGGTAGTCAACGCTCCTGAGAACACACGAGCCAAACATTATAATAGCACTGCGTGCGGTCTGGAATATGCAATGAATTCTCAAAACTGGCTAGAAGTCGTTCCCTCTTTTCCCTACAAATTATGCCATATACCCAAATGACTGTCGTTTGTATACCCAAATTCATGGCCATTTGCTTATTTGAGCATCGTGAGCTGCTCAAATAAGCAAATCAAGGAAGCTGCACGATGATGTCTGCTTCCTGCTTGCGTGTTCTCAATCACCCTGAAAGTAAATTGCGCATTTGAAGCGAAAAAAAAAAAAAAGCGCTCAAGATCATGAGTTGTGCATGACTTAACTTCTTTCCGCATCCCTCCTTTCTTAGCTTCCAGGGCATTCATAGGGGTGAGAGGAGAGAGCATTTAACATGCGACAAGTCTCTTAACTGCTTGTACTTAAACGATTATTAAAAAATTTTATGGCAATTGATTCGTTAGGCAATGAACTCCTTTTATGAAGCCATATGATGGTTAATTGAAAAAAATTCTACCATATCCATGAAGTGAATAATGATGGGTGTGCGAAGCTTTGGAGGTAAATCTGGTAAACTGTGAATCTGCATACATTTTGCCCACTCGATCATCATGTAAAGACCTGGTAAACAGGGAGGGGTGGTATGGTATATACGCAACATGTTTTATTCGTGGCTGTATTTGGTAGTGAGGCACAGCTTTCGTTGATCCTTCATTAGAACCACTTTGTGGTCTGTGCAGTAAGTGACACTGGTTTTTAGATATGATGTGCAGTGATTCTTTTCACTCCTGCTGCAGAATGGCATTCGCGCAAGATTGCTTGTTTGAGATGCTGGAGATCGTGGTCTAATTGTTATCGAATTGCAAGTAGTTACAAACCTTGTAGCTGTGGCCAAAACTGCGATATAGAAAGTCTCGCTGAAAGCTTGCATCGGCGCCACCAATCCTGGGTAGTGATCGCTCCAGGCGCTTGGCTGCAGCAACCCTCGCCCGCACTGCCTCAGGAGTGGAGGCATTGCGGGCGAGCGCTGCAGTCATTCAGTGGGCTAGATACTATGCGACAATGGACGAACCTCGCAGAGCCATCTAGTGGGCGCTTGAGTACTAGCGACTGGCTAAGACGCGACAATGGACAAGCCTCGACCCTAAAGAGCTTCGCCCCTAAAATGTTACAGGGTGCCTTTAAGCTTCTGATACCTTTGACTGATTTGATTATTTCGGTCTTCACTAATCCTAATTCTTCACTAATCTAATTCTTGGTCTTCACTATTCCATTTCGGGACTTCTGAACTGTTTATGAATTCGGTCAGACAAGTGTAGATTGGCATTGCCACACTGGTTTCTTGTGGCTGCTTTGCTGAGGCTGAGTGTCACAGCCATGAAACATCCATGAAACATTTTCTGAGTCTGTTGGAAAACTCAAACGTTAAATTGACAGTGACTTATACACTAGAACACAGCGAGCTCAGTGCTTGCTGCCATATTGAAAAGGGCGTGGCGCCATCTGTTGCAAGTGCGGCAAAGTAACACTCTCAACTGCCAGGCGAGCAGATGCTCTGCAAATCAAATGCGAAACTTCACAACTCGAGTCGGGCTGTAAGCATGTTTCGCGCTGTTCCTGTGCTGGAATTTTATGCTGATTTCGTGTGAAACGTTGACGAGACCTTCTTCGACAGTCTGGAATGTCTGCAGCACGTGTATTGCAGACTACAGAAGCAGCTTCATCAGGTACGTACTATTGCGATTGAAAAGAAACGCGAACAGCGGAAAGCGCTGCTTTTGACTCAGCCGAACTGCGGCGCGCCTTGGTTGTGACAAGGCAGAATTCGTGCTGTAAGCCGGCGTCAAAGTAGCGCTAAAATCTGGTTCCAACTTGCGCTCATGCACCGCATGTGTATCAATTGCCAGTCCTGCCGGGCACTCGGAACACACGCGCTGCAAAAGTGCCAGCCAAAACAAGATTTTAAAATGCTACGGCTATGCCGGTCGAAAGCATGTATAGATTCGCATACAGAGTGACAGTCTAGGCATGCCGCAGTTCGACCGAGTCAAAAGCCGTGCTCTTCTCGCCGTTCACATCTCTTTGCATCGCGATAGTAGGCCGTTACAGTTGTACTAAACATGCGCGGCGCGTGCATATACGCGCGAGTCGTAATACGTATATTCTATTATTGACATGCGGCCTGCGAAAGAGTATGGCAATAGTTTTGTGCCTCATACTACAGGTATACTGCATGCAAATCGCTGCTGTAAAGTGAAACAGCTGGAGTCGCACTTAAGTATACTTAAGTATACTGGGCTCGTAGTTTTTCCTGTTGATTGCGATTGTATCCTAAGGCTGTGGAGCTCGGCGTTTTTCGTTGTGGAAGGAAATCTGTGCAATTCAAAACACCGCACCGGCACGATTCCCGCGATGCGCTGTGAACTTCACAGGCAGTGCTCAGCAACCGCTTCCTCTTGCACTGGTTGTTGTCACATCAGATGACAGGGCAGTGGTACCCAGATGACATTTTATAAGCGGGCGCAGGAAGAATAGGTGCTTTTTCGCATTTTAAACTCCCAGAGCCACTGCATTCCATGCTAGCGAGGTGCGCCTTGGCAGTTGCAAATTATGCCGTCTCTGGGAGCGAGGCTGTACCGCCGAAGGCGCCTGGGTGCGAGATAGGCGTGCTCTCGTCTGTAGACAACATGGGCTAATATGTGCTAGTGTGTGGTATGTTAAGGAGACTGTACAATATCATTAATGAATACACTATTAATAGAATCAATGTGAAAATTGATTGTGCTGTTAGGACGGATATTAAAACATGTTTGGTGTGGTGTTCTTTTGTACTCCAAAAGTTCCCATTCAAAGGCCATTTGAACACAAGTATTAGCAACGCTAAGGTTAAGCTTAGAAGTTAAATTTCTATGATAGAAACATGTTTTTTTTTTTGACAAGTACTTTCAAATAATGTGTATGATTAGAGTAGAAATCTTGCATAAGGGCATAGGTGTAAACTTTAATGGGCCCCTCATGACTTCTTTCTAAAGCATCCTCAGCCACCTCTCGGGCACACAGTTGCCACTTTCTGAGGCTCATTCTTTGGTGTTAAATGCATTGTATTTTACAAAAGAAAACTTCGTCTGCATATGGAGGCCCATCCCTACTTTCTTTAAAGTGGCTGGTGTTGCCATGGGGTGCCAATGCTGCAGTGCTGTGCTGTATGATTGGCTAAGAGAATTCAATAGCAATACTACTGTGCACTGGAAGTTCACTGGGACTGAGCAAATGCATTTCATGACTCGCGCTCAAGTAGTACATAAGTACCGATGTTGCTTTTCACCCCCCCGCTCCTCATGTCATCCCCATCTGTAGCGGCACATTCATTGACATGAAAGAAGAGCCTTTTGATTAGTGTTTAACAAATCTTTGTGATTTCACTCGTTCATGGTGGATTAATAAAATTTGTGGCAATTGATTCATAGGGCAATAAACTTTATGGTATGGTAATTGATGATTACTTGAAAAAGGCTCAGAAAAAAGGGTCATTTGATATGGCCACAGCACAATTTCTGTATACAGTTTCTGAATTACTGTATACAGTTTTATGTTTATGGAATTAGAAGGATTTTATTGGCACCCATGCTACCATCATTTTGCTTTCCAGAAATTTTCTGTGCACTGTTTACGAGGAGCATAAAGCATCAATGCTAGTCACATTTGTGCTGGTAGCACAGTGTTTTCACTAACTTGTGAATATTTAATTTTGACATTGTAGTGCTTTCTTTCTTGGTTGCTCTGCCTTATGATAGGTGCAGGAAAAAGCCTGTTAAGGTGCTGAAATGCATAGACGTGCGTAATCACTATTGAAGTCGAAAATTATTTCGCTCTTGTACTTTCTCACTGCTGCTTTTCTTGGGAAATGGTCTTGCCACTGATCTACTGCACTTCTTTTCCCCTTAGCGACGAAAAGTGAATACCCCGGCAGTCTCTACCTTAGATGAAAGTCATCATCAGCCGGACAGTCTTGAAGAAGTGTTAGAAAGTACTCTGGAGTTGCCAAGTGTGCCGTCTGAGCACAGCAGCAGGGATGCGACTTTCTTTGCTGGCGGGGACACTCTCTTGCTTCCAGAAAGTCGCAATGCTTCAACGAAAGCATGTGGATCACTCAGTCCTGGTGTAATCAATGAGACTGTAGCACCATTTGAGTTATATGACCAAAACGTGAACCTCCTTGAGCCTTCGGACTTGCAGAAGCTGCCAGATGCTCCAGTGCTGCACGACACGGACTTGCTTCCACATATTGGCAATTCCTCTTCTCCAAGTGCTTTAACTGGAAGCAACGAAGATAAAAAAACTTCCGACGCCGACAGCAAAGCCAAGGATTCAAGTGGTACTTATGGTCAAGATGGAGCGTTGACCTTTGGCATCACTGACTCCAACGACAACGTGGTGACCTCACCAGGGGAGGCAAGCGCTGCTGGAACTGGCGTGATACCAAAGTCCTCTGGTGCAGCTGCCGTTGGATCTAGTGCCCAGGTTGGTGCCCACATTCAGATTAGGCACCATATTTTTGGTGCTTCGGTTGTTGAGAGTATGTGATGTGCCTCCAAATTTGTGACTTGCATGTTCTTTTCTGCAAGCGTTCTTATAGCTCCAGGAAGCATAATACACTCCAAAAATTATTTATTCTAGCTAAATAATTTAATATCGCCTTATTTATGAAGACAACTTTCCATTTTGGTTTCTGGGTGCAGAGTTTGACAGTGACGTAGCAACGTAGGTGCCTTGGTCACGTGACTACACAGGACTGTGACTTACGTTTTGTTGAGCATTGGCTGCTTTTGCACACAGGTACCACACAAGCACCAGTAAAAAAAATGCACCAGCAGTTACCATGGCTAGCTGCAGCTACCGCGAGCAATGTAGCAAGCGATGCTCTGCCGGTGTGTACGTCGCATAGGTGGCGGAGGTCACTCACGTCACTACAAATCTGGTGTGGTGTTGAAACTTTCTTTGCCCTTCCTATAGTGCTTTGTCAGTGCTGGACGTGCTAGCGAAGGGTCATGATCAGGAGAATGAGCATTTAGGTACACTTCGGAAGTGAAATATTGTGTGTCCGATCTTATATGTGGAGTATCCTTACTTAAAGAGTAAACCCACTACAGCCTTGTTGTAGTCTCGAAATTTGATGGCACCACCCTTTTAAAGGACCATAGACAGCGAAAGTTCTGTTTGCTATTATTTTAGTGTGATTTATAGCTTTGTGTCTGGTAATGCCTAAATGGAATCGTAGATGCCTATTGTATCGTATACTAATGCTAGCATCATTTATTCAGAACGCTTTTGCATCAGTTTGAAATGCCCATCTAAATACCACAAGAAACTGCTGCCCCACAGTGCGGCAGCAGCGGAGCATACGTGAGCTCCAGCTTCGGCGACGCTGAACACTGTTTTCAAATGGGGACCAGCAGATGGGGTAGAATAAAAGGATGTAAGGGAGTGTGTCCCCCTCGTAAAAAAGAGCATTCCTGGCATAAGCAGCAAAAACCACCTTGACAGCAGTCTAACAACAGAGCAAGAGGGGTGACGAACAATAGCCCTTGCATGCCCCCCAAATGTTCTCTGAAGCTGTCAATACTCGCTTGACCTATGTAATGTCACGAGGGGACCCCTGTCTTCATCAAACTACAGAAAATATTGTCACTAATGTAATCCGTTGAAGTGGCCCCACACACAGGATTATCAATTACAAGCATCTCGAGTTTACAAATTTGTTGTTGGGGGCCCTCTAATGTACTGTTGCACATTTTAAATCAAACCAAAATGCTTTAAGAGTATCTGTCTCGGCGCCTACGTCTTCGTGTTCTTGTGGACATTTTAACTTGAGTATACTAGAATTGGTATCGTCACTTCATTGTATAAACAACATAAATGGCAGGTTGTAACATGAAAATTATGACGGCATGTCATGTATGTCATACTTTTTGACTGGCTATATGCAGCCAGTCAAAAATCTTACAATGTAGTTAATAATGGCTATTGCAGCCATGATGACGCTTCAGATGAAAGCTTAAAAATCGGCAATGAGTAAGGTAAAAACACAGTATACTATACTGATGGGAGACTTTAATGCAAAGGTAGGGAAGATGCAGGCTGGAGACCAGGCAGTAGGAGACTATGGCATCGGTACTAGAAACGCCAGAGGAGAGCTACTAGTAGAATTCGCAGAACGCAATAATTTACTGATTTTGAATACCTTCTACCGAAAACGAGGGACCCGCAAGTGGACATGGAGGAACCCTAATGGCGAAAATAAGAGCGAAATAGATTTTATGAGTGCACAGCCAGGGATCGTGCAGGATGTGGAAGTGGTTGGCAAGGTACGATGCAGTGACCATAAAATGGTACGGTCTCTAATTCGCCTAGACTTGAAAAAGGAACGACAGAAACTGATATGCAAGAAACCAATCAATGAGCTAGCACTGAGAGGGAAAGTACAGGAATTTTGAGTATCGCTTCGGAACAGGTACTCAGCTCTTAGTGAGGAAACCAACCTTAGCGTAGATACAATGAATGATAATCTGACGAGTATCATTACGGAGTGTGCAGTGGAAGTTGGAGGCAGGGTAATTAGGCAGGACACTGGCAAGCTTCTCCAGGAAACGAAGAATCTCATTAAGAAGCGTCTAATCATGAAAGTCTCAAGTACAACAGAGAAAATAGAAGTGGCAGAGCTTTCAAAGTTGATTAATAGGCCTAAGGTATGCGATGTGAGAAGGTGTAACATGGAGAGAATTGAACATGCTCTGAAAAACGGAGGAAGTGTCAAAGCAGTGAAGAGGAAACTCGGGATAGGCAAAAATCGGATGTATGCACTAAGGGACAAAGAAGGCAAAATAACAACCAATATGGATAGGATAGTTAAAATAGCGGAGGAATTTTACAGATTTTACAGTACAGTAGCCGGGATAACCACAACTTTAATACTATAAGAACTAGCAGTAACCCACATGACACCCCACCAGTAATGATAGAAGTCAGGAAAGCTTTGGAGAGCATGCAAAGAGGCAAAGCTGCTGGTGAGGATCAGGTAACATCAGATCTGCTGAAAGATAGAGGACAGATTGTGTTAAAAAAACTAGCTATCCTGTTTACGAGGTGTCTCCTGACGGGAAGAGTGCCAGAGTCTTGGAAGAACGCTAACTTCATCTTAATACATAAGGAGGTGACAAGGACTTGAAGAATTACAGGCCGATCAGCTTGCTCTCTGTAGCATACAAGCTGTTTACAAAGGTAATTGCTAACAGAGTAAAGAAAACATTAGAATTCAATCAACCAAAGGAACAAGCAGGATTTCGAACAGGCTACTCAACAATCGACCACATTCATACTATCAATCAGGTAATAGAAAAATGCTCAGAATATAACCAACCACTATACATAGCCTTCATAGATTAGGAGAAGGCGTTTGATTCAGTAGAAATATCAGCCGTCATGCAGACACTGCGGAATCAGGGCGTCGATGAAGTATATATAAACATCCTGAAAGAAATCTACAGGGGATTAACTGCTACCATAGTGCTTCATAAAGAAAGCAACAGAATACCAATCAAGAAGGGTGTAAGGCAGGGGGACACAATCTCTCCAATGCTATTTACCGCGTGCTTACAGGAGGTTTTCAGAAGCCTCGAATGGGAACAGTTAGGGATAAGAGTTAATGGAGAGTACCTTAGTAACCTGCGCTTTGCCGATGACATTGCATTGCTGAGTAACTCGAGGTACGAATTGCAACTCATGATTACGGAGTTAGACAAGGAGAGCAGAAAGGTGGGTCTTAGTAATGTACAACAACCTCGGAAAAGAGCAGTGCTTCAAGATAGGTAATAGTGCACTTCAAGTTGTAAAGGACTGTCTACTTAGGGCAGGTAATAACTGCGGAGCCAAACCACGAGATTGAAGTTAACCAGAAGAATAAGAATGGGGTGGAGCACATTTGGCAGGCACTCTCAAATTATGACAGGTAGATTGCCACTATGCCTCAAGAGGAAGGTATATAACAGTTGTATCTTGCCGGCACTTAGCTACGGAGCAGAAACCTGGAGACTTACAAAGAGGGTTCAGCTTAAATTGAGGACGACGCAGTGAGCAACGGAAAGAAAAATGGTAGGTGTAACCTTAAGAGACAAGAAGAGAGCAGAGTGGATTAGGGAACAAACTGGGGGTTAAGGATATCATAGCTGAAATCAAGAAGAAATGGACATGGGCCGGGCATGTAGCGCGTAGACAGGATAAATGCTGGTCATTAAGGGTAACCGACTGGATTCCCAGAGAAGGCAAGTGGGTTAAGGGGAGACAGAAGGTTAGGTGGGCAGATGAGATGAAGTTTGCGGGTATAAATTGGCAGCAGCAAGCACAGGACCGGGTTAACTGGCGGAACATGGGAGAGGCCTTTGTCCTACAGTGGACGGAGTCAGGCTGATGATGATGATGATGATGATAATTGCAACTTTTGAGTGTAGAATAGAGCCCCTGGACAGGGGCTCTATTCGCTTCTCACTTTTTTTTTACTTTTCGGGTTTTTTGTGCATGAAAATTGATGTGCTTTCTGAGTGTCTGTGTATGTTTGATATGTGACCTCTGGCCTTGGGATTTTAGCTTTACAATTGGATCGATTGACTGCTTTGCCTGAAATGTACACTTTCTATTCTGCTTCAGTGCTCTGCAGACAAGGATAAAACGGAGGGAACATTACCCGTGGATTCTGAGGCAGGCCCCGAGGTTGCTCAGTTTTCTGAAGAGGAGTTCAAGGCAGCTGCTGACCACTATAAGGAAGATTTTGAATTTCTTGTAAAAGTGGGCAGCAGCCGGCGGCTGGGCAGAACCAGCCTAGGGCGCTGCACGCTTTACCTTTTTGACCCTCTTTGTCGTAGAAGTAGTGATGGTAAGTCATTTGCTGGTTTGCTACGATTTATACTCGCTAAGTTACATATTATATAAACCATGCCTTAAGTTTCTAGTGTGTCATTCTGCAATGTCCAGAGCTCTAGTTCATATATAAAACAGTTAACGAGTGACTAATAAAAGATGGAACATTTAGAAACCACTGAGCAGCACTTGATCTCTAATGCTTTCGTCGTGAACTTGAGGCACTGTTCAAAGGAGGAGCCATGGGCTGAGCACTTGTGCGTTCTTGTGCAGTCTATGCATTCATTTTTTGCAAGATAAGCTGATTATACCATTCTAATGAAGACATATAGAAAGCACCCCATGGCTCCAATTGCAGGCATAATAATTGCATTATAGCACCTTGTTCTCTCTGTCTTCATTCTCGCTCAAAACTTGCAAGTGACCTTCGGCAAGAATTGAAAAGTGAAGTTCAATGTCCATGAGCAAGTAATGTAGTCTTTGCAGAGTCCTTGGAACATATTTTTTATAAAATAATAGTGAATTATATTAGTGACCTGTTCAACATTGTTTGCAATGTTCATTGTTTCCACCAGCCCCGCCACGGTGGTCTAGTGGCTAAGGTACTCGGCTGCCGACCCGCAGGTCGCGGGATCAAATCCCGGCTGTGGCGGCTGCATTTCCGATGGAGGCGGAAATGTTGTAGGCCCGTATACTCGGATTTGGGTGCACGTTAAAGAACCCCAGGGGGTCAAAATTTCGGGAGCCCTCCACTACGGCGTCTCTCATAATCATATGGTGGTTTTGAAACGTTAAACCCCACAAATCAATCAATCATTGTTTCCACCAGTGTTTCTGGCAGATGAGTGCCTGCATATAAGGTTATTCTTGGTGCTCAATTTCTACTCGATAAAACAGTTAGTGCACCTGCACTAAAATAGGTCCTTCACAAGGTTGGGCAAAGTCGGAGGGGTGTCTGCACTTGCGCCTAGCACTTTATTTGCCAACCAAGGCTCCAGAATCTGGAGCAGTGGTATACTAATCGGGTGTCTCATAATAAATTACACTGCCAATACCAATGGAATGAAAAGGGCCATGGAACACGTTTTATGCAATGTTTAGAAGGTGTCTAATAAAGGGCATCTCTTCTCAAATAGCTAGTTTTGAACAACTCTATGAACTGTCAAGGGCTGCTGCAGCCGCCTGGCATCTTTGTCTTATGATATTATATGTTTTTGTATGTGTTTAAGATTGTGCAGCATGACCCTCAGTCATGCTACCAATCTATAAGGAATGTCTGGTAAAGTTGACATTCATGAAATTATTATCAATTAATCTGATATTTCAATTACTGATTTCCTTTCAAGTACTAAGGTTCAAATAAGAAATGTATGGGTGCCTCATACATTTCTTGGAGGCCAAATTTTTGTTACTTATATAGTGAAATGAGCTTGTGCCAGATGATCTGACATACACCATTCATCTTGCCCTTGCTCTACAGGTACAGCGTCTGACTTTGTAGTGCTTAGAGTACAGTGAATGTGTCACACATATAGCAGTGATGGAAGTGCTGCTCCAATTGCTCCATGCTGCTCCAAAGTGCATTATTTGCTAGTAACTGCTCCAAACCTGCTCCAAAATGGTGTTGGCAAACTAAAGAGAATGAAGTTGAATCATGGGACCATCCCGTGAGCATAAGCAAAACCAAAAGCAAGCTGTACACACTATCATTTTAGTATGCTACTCAGTGGCGTAAATCCAGAAAAAATCTCAAGGGGTGACACATATCAGGCCATGGTGTCCAATTCGTATTGTAATATGGGATGCATTTTTATTTATATAAAAATAGTCATCCTTTCATTAAAATTTAAAAAAAAGAAACGAGCATAGGGTCCGAGCTCGAGTAATTGCGTTGTTCTATTCAGTCTCTTTTTTTCCACCTTTTTTCGATTTTTATTGTTCACACAGCTGAGGGGCATTTAACAGAGGTACGCAGTAAAAGATAAAAAGCCTTTTAAAAGGTTGATTGCACTATACTTTACTGTTAACACAATTATATCATGCGCTAATCCTTAGTCTCAAGTGGGACACTTGAGCAAGGGGTATCCTCCTCAGCCTAAACCCAAGAAAACTCTACTCTCTTGAACCCCCCCCCCCCTCATGATTTATGCCAATGATGCGGCTATATGGCTTGTATACTAGCTGCATACTAGCATACAGCATGTTTAATAATAAATATACTAGATATTTATTACATGCTTAAGTGATACTTTAGACTTCAGGAGTCGTTATGAACATGCATCTGCTCTGAAAACTCCAATAGGAACACTAAGCTATGGCATTTTTTTCTGCTCTGAAGACACTTGAGCCTGCTCCAAAGCACCATTTTTTCTGCTCCAGAATCTGCTCCAAAAAGCAAAATGTCACTTCTATCATTGATATAGTCTCCAATCAAAATTTCCTGTTTTCAGCCAAGGCTAGGAAACTTCTCATGTTGTAGTGGGTCATAATTCATTCAGCATTTATTTTATATGTATGAAAATTTGTGTGTGCCAGCCAGTTGCTCCGATTTCCTTAACACTTTCATGGTGGTAAAAGGGCTGGGTCCTTTTATCAGCAATGTTTTGTAGAGGCAGAATGCTTGAGCAGCTTCAGGGATAAAACTTCTAAAGTTTTCAGAGTGGTGTTAGGAGTGAATCGGATCTAGTGCAAACATAAAAATGTTTTCGTAGTTGCTGAACTATATTAAAGGGGTGGTGCCACAAATTTGTGGCTGTTAGGTGATTTGCTGCAGTCTTTTCTTATAACTTCAGGAAGCATGATACACACAAGATTTTTGTATATCTCTAAATAATTGAACATCGCCCTATTTATGTGGAAAACTTTGTGTTGCTGGGCTCAGAGTTAGGCAGCGATCTAGCAGTGTAGGTGGCTCGGTCACGTGACCACACAAGGCTGCAACTCACGATGTGCTGAGTATCGTCTGCTTTCGCACACATGTGCAGCCAGCAAAACAAATGTGACAGCAGTTGCCATGGTTATCTGCAAGAGCCTTTAGCGATGTAGCAACTGCTGCTTTGCCGGTACGTATGGGGCGGAGGTCACTCCCGTCGTTATAGATCTGGTGTGATGTCAGTCCAACTTTCGTTGCCTTTCCTGTAGAGCTACGTCAGGGCTAACATGCTAGCGATGGGTCTTGATCAGGAGAATGTTTTTAGGTACACCTTGAAAGTGAATTAAAAAAAATATATACTCTAAACGTTTGATGTGTCTGGCTATTCGTGTGAAGTGATCTTGCATTCAGATGAAACCCACAACAGGCGTGTTATAGCCTCAAGATTTGATGGCACCACCCTTTTAATTGAAAAAAATGTTGTGGATGGTATTTTTTGTAAACATATAGGAGATATGTTGAAAATACTGGTTTGCTTTGTTCATTTTAAATGCCAGAGTGATTGTCTTTGCTAAATATGCCGAGTGCTTTAACTAAACCATGCTTTTAATACTGCCCTAACTGTTTCCATTTACGCTGTGACTCACTATAGTAAATGTCTTTCCACATACTTGCAGCATCTGAAGATCTGACGGCTAAATGCAAAGCTTCACCGTAAGTCTATTCAGTGCTCGATATGGCATGAACATAATTCTAACTACAAGTTGCATAACCTCCTCTGTTAGTGGTACTGTACATTCTGTATTGTGGATTGTATTTATTGTTACAGCTTATTTTCTAAGCCTTGTCTAGTGCTTTTTCACTTATGAGGCAGAGCCTGCCGCACTTGCTTTGCAACTTCTCACTAGATGCAGGGCTAGTACCACGTTGCTGTTTTCGCTATCGGAAAGCTGTGCTGTTATTTGATTTTGTGAATATGAAAGCTAACATTTCTTCGTAATTTTCCATCCTCCCAGAAACATAGTACAGTACTAATTTTTTAAAAAGACCTTGTTCAGCATTACCAGTTTAAAGTTTACCTTTTCATTGTGAATTGTATGGGGCAGCATTAGGGTTAATACAAGAACAATAAAAGACGGGACAACATTAGTCCTAACACTGCCCCATACAGTTCACTATGAACCCTAACCAACTAGCCCACCTTTTCGTTATTTTACCTTTTTCCTCTGTTTTCGCTGTCCTTCATGAGGGACGGGGCCGGGTCTCCTTGCCTACATCTTTACCTTTGTAAAGCTCTAGGCAAGGTGCCCCAGTTCCCGTGAGATCGGGACACCTTGCCTACAGCTGTACCTTTGGTTACTGTGGGTTGGGTGTGGCTGAGCATGGGCAGGCAAGTCTGTTTCTCTCTGAAGTACTTAGCTAGCTATGTCAATTAATATACACAGTAACAAATAGGAATTGGCACACTGGGTCCAGTGAGTTTGCCTGGTTCCTGTCAGCGATTTTCCAGTAGCTACTACAGTATACAGAAATCTGCTCGATGTACTGAAAAATCCACTGGCAGTCAACTAACTGCTTGTGTTCAGAAAGAAAGACTTATAAGAAAAAACCTAATTTTGTGCTTTGCTTTTGAACTCTACATTCCATGTAGCACAACAAAATTTTCAGCTTAGTGGTTCACAGCAGTCTTTTATCTGCCTAATGCATTTTGTTAACAAGTGGGTATTAGGTGCTTTTAATGGGAGGAAAAGTGAAATGGTTTGATATTGAGCTGGCGAAAAAAGTACCTTATCACATGCATGAGGAATTCCTTTGCTATGCATGTGCAGATGGCACAGGTACGTCGAAACACACTGGTTTAGTTGACATCAGTTACGAACTGATATTGGCACTTGATTCGCACCAGTGGTTTGAAACCTGCGCCAACCTGCACGAATTGGAAATTGTTGTGCCATGCTGCTCTAGAAGGGTCTTTTTTGTTGACTTTGCGTCATTGCTGTGCCACAAGGTGGTTTTGGAACCGAAAGGGATGCTGACAGCATGCATCGTGAGCAGATATTACGTGATGGTCGCGATCTTGTACATTAGCATACATTTGCCCCACTGCAACAGCTCGAAACCTGCAGAATAATTATTCCGTCTTCCGCATTATTACGGCGGTGTCAGTTCTCATTACCATTGGCAAAGAACGAAGGCGATGTGGCGGCCACCGAAAAGCGTGCCAGTGCAATATCGCTGATAAAATTAAAAAAGTGTATAATGTGGCAGCACTTTAAGTCTACTGCACGCTTTTTATGGACGGTGACCACTTGAGCGTGCAGGGGCGCCAATTGCTGTTGCCCCAATCATTGTACATGTGGCGGTGTTCAGCGGGCACAGAGACAGCAAGCATGGTGCTGTTATAATCATACTGCAAGCTTTCATAAGGTGACAACCCAAAAGTGCCTCAACCTGCTGCCCGCACCATATAGGTAGTTATTTAGGAAACTCTATGGCCAGGATTGCTAGAGCCCCACTTGCAGAAAGCCTGCATCATCGCGTCAGTGCCATAGCCTTCTCGCCGCATCTGTTCCGGGTCTAAAGCGGAGTGGAAGCAAGCGGCTTAGCGCGGTGTGTACACCCAGTAGGCGAAGCGCTGCACGCAATTAGCCAGTAGACGATCGCCTCGCTGTGACCGTGCCGCGTCTCAAAAAAGCTGTGTTTTCGCTAAGTAGCTGATTGCGTTGCACATTGATCGCGGACAGCCCCTTAAGTTCGTTTCATCACGATGCCAGCCGCATCTGTTCGTGGTCTAAAGCGGAGTGAAAGCAAGCAGCTTAGCGCGGTGTGTACACCCAGTAGGCGAAGTGCTGCACGCAATCAGCCAGTAGACGATTGGCTCGCTGTGACCGTGTCGCGTCTCAAAAAAGCTGTGTTTTCGCTAAGTAGCTGATCGCGTTGCACATTGATCGCGGACAGCCCCTTAAGTTCGTTTCATCACGATGCCAGTTGCATCTGTTCGTGGTCTAAAGCGGAGTGGAAGCAAGCGGCTTAGCGCGGTGTGTACACCCAGTAGGCGAAGCGCTGCACGCAATTAGCCAGTAGACGATCGGCTCGCTGTGACCGTGCCGCGTCTCAAAAAAGCTGTGTTTTCGCTAAGTAGCTGATCGCGTTGCACATTGATCGCGGACAGCCCCTTAAGTTCGTTTCGTCACGATGCCAGCCGCTGTGTCGGCTGTGTATCCTGGATTTCGCTGTAGTTCAAAAATGCTCCTTGATGTCGCCACTGCGTGCCATCGGACGGCTGTGCGATAGTGCCAATCATTTATCAAAATGGACAAATTGTAAGAAATGGCTTTGTAGTTAGCACTATGGCAATACAAGGTGTGGCACTGTTTTTATTCCTTTTTTAGCGGCGATGGTGCAAGTAAGGAATAGGTATTTGGTGATTCATACTACGTTGAGTGCGCAGTTAGCCGCGTTCTCGACACGTATGTACGTACTGAGATTTTACTGTAATAAGCTTTCAATGTGGGTGTGTGGGGATGTAGCGTATGGAAAGTTCCCCTTCAGAAGGGGGGGTGGGACAGGGCGAAGGTTCGTCGCAGTGCCCCCTTCCTATCATGTCAATGTATGAGCCTCGCTTCGCACGCCCTTCTCACCTCCCCTTCCCTGCATCTACACGGGCACGCCTATGTGAGTGGGTGTGCATGCGTGCTGTTAGAACCTCATGCTGCGCAGCTAACTCGTTGGTGCAATATCGTTCACTATCTTTTGTGACTGCTTTTATACATAATCCTCTTTTTCTTTGTTTTGTGGGCTTGCTGCTTCTGTGTAAGTGATTATGTAAACTGAGGGGACATTAGGCTAATTAAAGCTAAATTTTTCTCCTCTGTGTGTGTCTTGGAAAGTCCGTGGTGTGGGCTGCAAACACAGAGGTAGCTGCTCTAAAAGCAGATTTTGCCTGCTTCATTGGCTGCTCGAAAATGCTGGAAAGCATTCTCACCACTGATTGCACTTATCTACTTGTGCATGAGCCCTGGAAGTAAGCAGCTATGGCACAGCTTTATTTCTTCACCAGCTTGGTTGTCATAGTAACCCATTTATATTGCTTTTTTTTTCTATTTTCACCCTGATTCAACAATTCTAAAAGATGTGTGCTTATAGCTAATAATTTTGAAGTGCTGTCTATAAACATTAGTGCACATTGAGCCACTTTATTGGGCACCATATGGGCTTGAGTGGTTCACCCTGTTTTAAGCCGTATGAAATCTGTCGGTGATTTTTCCACCTTGTGCGCGGCGCACTGAAGTACGCCCTCACGTTAATGTGGTCTTGTTGTGTGGTGCATAATGACTTACCCCACCACAAGCTGGGCTGACCACTATAGTAGCCATGTCTGTATTGTGTATCTTACAGGAGCACTGAGATCAAATTTCAAGATCGAGATGTGCCCATCATTCGATCACTTGGTATGCATAGGTCTTCTTGGTCAAATTTGAATGGCGTCCGTCGTGTCGAAGTTATTTTATTTCGACGTCAAATAGTGTAAAGAAAGCTAAGGAGAAAAACGAAAAATAGCCTGCCCTGCGACATCGACACTAGTGCTACGTGTTCGGTGTAACACACTCCACAAATACCATCCTGAGTGACAATACGCTAGTAACAATGACGTCGACGATCTCCGAGTGTTTGGAGCGGACTCCCAGCCATGCTCTCGCTAATGGCTCTTCTTGCTGTGTTGAAGCGTGCGTTTGGTTCGTGTCCCTTCGACTGATTTGCGTTGTGCTCCACTGTGTGTGAGTACCATTATTCAGAGCGACAATACGTGCCAGAATGTCGGGGAACCGCTGTGTAGTAAGAACCTGCACGTCGAGGCGCGAACAAGCGGGAAATGCGTGGCGTTTCATGCCTTTCTAAGCCACGAACCTCAACGCAGCCAGTGGGTTTACCTCGTACGTGCCGTTGGACAGAGGGACTGGATGCCTGCGAAGAACAGCCGCATTTGCTCCCTTCACTTTGCCATGAGCTGCTACAGGGTAAATCCTGTGTTGGCGAACCAGTTGGGTTTCACTGGCAGTACCGAGGCCTCTTCTCAAGGCCGGCGCTATTCTTACTGTGTACCCTGCTGCAGCTGAAAGCAGAGATTCAGTCGCCAAACGTCCATGACATGAGGTGCGTAGTTGGTGTTCCTGAGCTCCGACAGTACGGCCGGGACTGATAAATACATTGAATTTAATGCGGAGCTTGTCAAGCAAGGATCAACGCGAATCGCGGCGATACCCAATTCCAGGTTGCTGTCATCATCACTTGCCGATGTTGACTGCGACGACGGTGAGGACGACGATGTTGGCAACAGAGGCATGTCTACGCCTTCAGAGACACAGCTGGACTGACTGTACGTGCGCTTCTAGCAGATGGAACGCCAGTGTGACGTCACCATTTTTTGTGAAAGCGGCATGAGCTGTGCAGCGGCCTCGACGTGGATGCGAGGTAGCGCTGCCAGGACTACAATTCGGTGGGCTTTCGACCCCTTTTGAACTGCGTTTGATAGCGAATATATTAATCAATATTACAGATACTCATTTGTCACTTAGATGCATTTTAGGTCGCAAATTGCTTCTAGGGGGTCGATAGCTACTCGTTGACGCAAAAATCTTGACATGAGTAAATTTGATGTCAGGGCTCCTTTAAGCTGTGTAAATAACTAATGCACATGACATTTGGCCTCCAAC